GCTCATCTTTATCAAGAAGTCATTTGCTCTTTTTATCTAATTAAATTATTAATTATTGTTAATCACTTTAACTACTTTTCTAAATTATTCTTAATCTTAAGACTAACACTTTATAATTTAGTTAAACACACTCTAAGATAATTCATAAGACTTCTTAAATCTTATTTTGTAACTTAACACAAATTCTTAAAACAAATAATAATTAAATATAAAATTCAGAATTTATACCTGAAATTCCCTTTCTGCTTTCTTTGGCTTAACTTCTTCGTCAAAACTCTAAAATTATTAACAACATTGAGTCATATTCACTTGTAGATTTTTATGAAATTTAATTTCAATTAAATTAAATTAATAAGTTAACATCATTTAATAATTTCTATTAATTAATTAATTATTTATTTATTTTTTAAGTTTATTATTACATTAGGGTGGCTATGGGGTGACAAATTAGTCATTTGATGAGAATAAGATTCTATGTCATTTAGTGGTTTTTTTAATTAAGTAATTTATAATGTACACATGTATTAGTTGAATTGTGAATATGATGAGCTATTCATTAGTAGGGTTGTAAACGAGCCAAGCTTGAGCGAGCTCAGGCTTGGCTCGTGTTTGGTTCGTTTGAAATAGTTCGTGTTCGAAATCGGCTCGTGTTCGAAATCGGTTCATGAACAGCGTGTTCGTGTTCGGTTCGATTTAAATATTCGTGTTCGTGTTCGACTCAAAGTTGACTCGTTAAACTAAAATTGAGAAAAATAGATGTAAAGGGTGAGATTCGAACCTGGATCAAATCTATACAAAAGAAGACACTAACCACATTGCCACATGAGGTGTTATGATTTAAACTTAGACATAAATATATATAATATATTATTATATAAATAATATATGTAATATATTGTTATATAAAAAATTATATAATTTTTTTTTCGAGCCATTTCCAGCCAAACACGAGTGAACAAACTGTTGTTCGTGTTTGGCTCGTTTACATTTCGAGCTTCAAAATTTGTTTGTGTTCGGCTTGTTAGGCTTAACGAACGAGGTGAACATGAGCTGCTTAACGAGCCGAACACGAGTTGTTCACGAATAACGAGCCAAATTGACAGCCCTATTCATTAGGAGCTTTTATAACTTGGTGATGAGCTATGGATTGAAAATGGAGACATTTCAAGAGTATGCATTTAAATATTGGTGCATCAATAAGCTATTGTTTAATTAACAACTTAAATTATATTTTTATATTACTCTAATTTAATATACGATTTTGAGAAAACATTTAATTTATTGGTAATTATTATTTACATGGGTTTTAATAATTACTAAGCATGAGCTAAAAAAATTAATAATTGATTATTATTGCTATTATAAAATTTAGTTGGGACTAATTTTTAATTAATTTATCGAGTAATATTTGCTTGCTAATTACACTTAATTATTTGGATTAAGTATACCTAGTTCATATCTTATTAATTTTTAAAATAGAACACCATAAGACGGTATTTGGTAGCATACTATTAATAAGATTTAGCGATCGATTTAACCTAAAATCAACCAAACATAAAAAAATAAAATAAATTTAGATCTATTGAAATTGATTGCGAGGCAGATTTATTTCATTGTCGCTCGCGAACTCTCTTTTGCACACTAATTTTCATAAATCCGAATTTATAGGATGTATTAACATAAATCTAAGTTACAACCAAATGCCGCCTAGACATTTTTATTTGTGTTATAGTGTGTTGCTTACTCATCTGCTCGAGTTGTGTTTCTCCTAAAAAATCGATGGTGATTCCTTATACGTCCATATGGAGAAAATCAAACTACGTTTGGACAACGAACTTGATACCCCCAATTTTTTTCCTTGGATGTATCGCGTCAGTTGTCGAGACGTAATATTTTCTCATCCATATAAATACTTCAAAAGCCTTTGTTATGCCTTAATGATGGCCCAAAAATTCTCTCTTATGGATCTCATAATGACATTATGCTTTTGAGAAGAGAACTCCATCCTTTATCCATCATATTTAAGAGAAAATTATTAAACTAAGTCACTTACTTTTTCCAGGTGAGATTATTTAGTGTTAAAAATCTATAAAAATGTCAAAATAATCAAGGGATTATTTTGAGAATTACACATATTTGTATTTTTTAAAATAATAAATGATGTGTATCATGTCTTCTCATGAGTTAAAAGTGAGGGAGCCTGACTTTTTTGCTGTTTTATTAAAGTAATTTGTTTTACTTTATTAATACAATGACTAATAAAACCAAAGAGACTGATACACTAGCATTGTGGGAAAAATATACAAAAATATTATTTTGTAATATTGTCTTAAGAAGATTGAACTGAGAAATATACCTATGACCTATTTCAATAAGGAAGGTTGACAACATATTATCACAAATTTCAAGGAAGTACACACAGAGTGTATGACAGGATGCAAATGAAGAACAAGTGGGATCAACTCAAGAAGGATTTAAAAATTTGGAAGAATTTGAAATGAGGATCAACAGGTCTCGGTTGGGATCCAGTGAAGCGAACTATTGATACTTTGGAGGAGTCATCGCAACAGGCAAATATGCATGCGCTCCAAGTGAGATAAGGCTTTGTGGTAGCTATGAAAATGTGGCCTTCAACCTATCAGATGATTCGCCCAATCTCCACAACTCGGAACTCTCCGAAATATAGTCCACTAACTGTTCTAAGCGTCCTCGTGTAGAAGGTAGAAAAAAAGGCAGAGTTGCTTACCTTAGAAACTAGATATCACATATGGTAGGTACTTCTAACGATGCCCCACATACAGTTCATACAACTTCCATTAAGCAGGTCATGCAAATTCTGGATGAAGATATGGAAATTTCGTAGGATTTTAAGCTATAATTTTTTGCTGTAGAGCTTCTTCAAGATTCAATTCACAGATATTTTTTTACAACGATTGCCAAAAAAAACGGGTGGCATATCTACTACATTTTTATGCTGGCAGAGAAACTTGAGGAAACTTGCTATTGACTGGGAGACTATTTTATTTCATTTGTAGTTACTTGTGACACTTTTATTTCATTATTGTATTTTCTTATGATATGCTTATTTGATATTCGTAAGCCATCATTTTTATCCATAAGAAATGCTTGGGTCGTGCTTTCTTCATGATTTATTTATTCATTTTTTTCTTAACACTAGTACAATATACATCAACATGGATTTAGACCAAGAAAGACGGGCACAAAGAAATGGAACAATCTCCTTGTTTGTTGAGTATTACAACACGTACATTGACCACTCTCCGCGCTTCGCATCGTCTTCTATCAGAAACAAATGGGTTGGAGAATTGCTTACTAGACAACAATCCAGATTCAACAACATGTTCTGCATGAGGCAGGAGGTATTTACAGATCTTCCAGCAGAACTTAGTGGATCTTAGGGTTTTTATGGGTCATCAAGGACGATTCAACATGAGCTGTTGGCGATGACTCTCCACATATTATCACAAAACAAGTTAATGCGTGGTGCAATGGAACAATTCTAACACTCATCGGAGACGATCAACAGATAATTCTCTATAGGTCTGAATACACTTGTGAGTTGCTTTCATAGGTCTTCTTCGTGGATATGCTTCCAAGGCATTTTCGATCCAATCTGGTTTCGAACGCACGCTCTTAGGTTATCAAGTTTTCTTCATGAAAGTTCTGCAAGAAGGCGTTTGGTTGTAACACCTGGTTAACAGTTGTCAGGTCGATATATTGATGAACTGACAGTTGCCGCCCTCCATCGCCCTCCAACGTCCTTGGCTACCACTAACACTCTATCTGATACTTTCTTCTTTAATTTGGCTAGAGTGCTACCAGACGTGACAGTGAACGTATCACTCCCGGGAAGAAGAGCCAAAGATCCAATCCTTCACTTTATTTTTCAGCAACAACAGCTAGAACTTGTTGACCGAGACTAACTGAATGAAGCCATACCGACTGACCCAAATTGAAAACCTATATTTGAAAAGCTTTATGGACTAGGGCATCATCGACTTACAAAATAACATGACGAAAGTCATAACAACCACTATGATCTTTGGTAGTATCTAAGTGGGAATGACTCTATATTGATTGACACTCCCAACAGAAAGGCAACCGAAGACAGAAGCAGAACTGATCTTTGTAGAAAATGAGGTCGATGCCAAAGAGTGGCCACTCTTTCATTCTCGCTAGTGACCCAAGGCATAACGATGGGACGAAGACACATGTCTCCTACAACCAATCCACTCCCCTCCGAGTCATCAACAATCGGTCTTTCAATATGACAGAACCAAAAGTTTTTGAAGAATATTTCAGAGTCATGAAGCAGGTCATAAAGAAAGTGAGAACGAACAAAATCAAGTTGAAAAGGAGTAAAGGCACAACATCATTAAATCCCTCACCCTTATACATAAGGAAACAAACAAAGTGAAACCATCACACTGTGTTAAAAACATAATTCTACATTAATTTCATAAACACACTAAAAAAAGTTCACATTAACGCATGAATTGAGAAGAAAAATATTTCAAAAATAGATGTCACAAATTACACAAATTATAAGAAACATTTGGAAGCTAGTCCGAAAAGAAAAAAAAAATTGTAATAGGTGGGTCGCCGCTCCAACCGAGACATATCCGAACCGAAGCAACCTCTTATGCAAAACTTCTCCTCCAAACTTAAACTGATTCGTCTATTCTGTCTCAGCTTGGGCCTGGAATATAAGTGATATCTCCCTGATGTCCTACAGTTCTTGATGAAGAATGGTCATCTCCTTCTCAATTCTCTCCAGACAAACACCTTGCATATATCCTCGTACTGACAGATCCCAACCGACCGAGCAAAGGAGTCCTCAATCTCGTCCACACGGCGAACCACTGATTCGGGAGATATCTGACGTCCACCAGCTGCTTTCAAGCGGGTCTCGAGAAAATTGCCTGAAAATAAACCCCAACATCCTTGCTCTAGGGGATTGCCTGGCCGTCCCAGCCAGTTTGATCATTAATGAGCCAAATTCGAACCTGTTTGCCTGGTAAACAGAACTGTAAGAACTAAGAACCCTAGCCATCTCAGGTAATCAGGTCATGCTGCTGCAAGCTCTCATCGTCCTAACACACATAAATGGCTCATTACCTGCCCAATTAATGAATTACGACCTAAACTGGTGCAAGTGCAACACCACAAACCCTCTGCAAAGAATTTCATCACCCCAACGCCTCCCTCTCTCTTCTCTTTCTGTGTTCCAATTTTCAACCTCTTCCACCATCTGTTCTCCGCGATCCAACACGCTTAGTGGTTGGGTAAAAAGTTCCACTTGGCTTCCTGTCGTCCCATTTCATCCCAGGTCTTCCATCTTCCAAGGTACGACTTTTGATCTCCGAAAGGTGCTCGCTTTCGCTGGACACAAGTGTTTTTAATCCACCGACTCCTTTCCTCCATTGAAACCTTCCTTCTCGCCGGCTCTTTCCGCCGAATCCTTCACCCCTCGCGCCGTTCCTCCGTCGCCTGATCGGAAATCACTAAATGTTTCGTTTCTACACCGCTTTATCCATCAAACATGTGCCGAATCCCCATCATAGCTTGCTTTTATAGGAAGCTCTGAACTTCTAATCAACAAACATAGAATAGAAGATGCGTGCGGCTGGATTTGAATCCCAGAAGTAATTGACAGAAGAAGGATGGTCAAGCCGTCTCCTTTCTTCCTAATCCTCCTTGGATTTGGGTTCTTCTTCGCCACTTATAATCTTGTCACTCTAGTAATCCACAACCAGAATACTGATTTGGCCGCAGAGCTGGGCGACGCCTTGTCCTTTTCACGGCGATCTGATCCCGTGTCTCAGAGACTCAATGAATCGAAGGAATCTGAGGGGCAGAGAAGGCGATTTCATGTGGCTCTCACTGCCACCGATTCTCCTTACAGTAAGTGGCAGTGCCGGATAATGTACTACTGGTACAAGAAGATGAAGGATTTGGAAGGTTCGGAGATGGGAAGTTTCACAAGGGTGTTGCATTCAGGGAGTCCGGATAATTTGATGGAAGAGATCCCTACTTTTGTGGTTGATCCCCTCCCAGCTGGTGTGGATCAGGTGAGAAATCTTCACATTAATTACATTATTTCTCCAGATTTTCTCAGCGGGTCTTCTGTATTTTCTTCAAATAAGGATTTCTTCAATCCATTTTTTTTTTTGGTTTAGGTATATCATGCATATTTGGAGTCTAAAACTGAATACATGGAATGTAATTTTAGTTGTAGTAGCTCTAGTGGCAGAGTTATAACTATGGGTGATCAACTCATTAAAAGGCGCAACGTTTTGGATATCTCGGGTCTATTGTTTAAAGCGATTCTGATATTAATGGGGATGTTATTAGTAGAATTCAAGTTGGTTGGTTGAAATGGAGGAATGCATTGGGCCTATTGTGCGATAGAAAAGTTTCTCTTAGACTTGAATGAAACTTTTATAAGATGGCGGTGAGATTGTGAAACGGGCCAATTACAAAGCTTCTCCCATTGCTAATCACTTTGCAGAGACAATGCTCTATGGCGCAGAATGTTGACCTTTAAAAGAGAAGCATAAAACAAAGTTAAGTTTTACTGAGATGAGAATGCTTGGTGGATGTGTGGCTTGATACTTAGAGACAATGCGAAATGAATATATTTGTGATAGGATTGGTGTAGCTCTAGTGGTGGATAAAATTAGAGAGAGTCGTTTTGGATGGTTTAGTCACATTATATATCGACCATCTGATAATCCGGTTGGGAGAATAGATGTTTTAGATTTGACTTATGTTAGATTTTGTTTTAGATTTGACTTATGTTAAGAAAGGAAGAGGTAGACCTAAAAAAACTTGGGTTTATTGTCTAAAAAAATGATTTTAATCTATTAGAATTAAATGAAAATATGACACTCAATAGGACTCAATGGAGAAAAAAGATTCATGTAGCTGACCTCACTTAGTGGGATAAAGGCTTGTTGTTATTGTTGTTGTTGTTGTATATCATAAATTTTGTATTTTTGTAATTGTTTTATTTTTTTCCCTTCATCATGCTGCTTCATCCTACAAATTGTGACTCTTCGAGGTTCTAGTCATTCTGCATCTTTATTTTTATTTAAGGATATTTACATACATACCACAATTCTTATGTATTTACTTATCAAACACCCAAAGTTTGATAATTACACTTCTAACAGCTTGATGCCATAAAATTATGCATCAAAAAATTGTATTTCACTTTCAGAAAAATAATGATAGTGATACTTTTGATGTGATGTTAAAGATTTGAGTGGTATGCATAGATGTTTGTTGTATAAAAACATATGAAAGAATAATAAGAAAAAAACTACAAACAAAAATTAAAAACCACCTAGATTTATGTGGAAATTTTAGGCGGAAAAGCCATAGGCAGAGGAGAAAATGCTCGCGATTCGAAAAGAAGAAAGAATTACAAGTGAAGAATTGCTGCTGACTTCATATTGCATTTCTGGTCTTTCTTGTAGGGTTATGTTGTGTTAAACAGACCATGGGCATTCATTCAATGGCTCGAGAAGGCGAAGATCAAGGAAGAGTATGTATATTTCAACCTTATCAAAAAGCCATTTTTTTCCTGCTTCAATGCCACATTTACTGAACATTGCTTGTTTATTTAAATTTGCAGATACATACTAATGGCAGAACCAGACCATATTTTTGTTAAACCTTTGCCAAATTTGTCCCGCGGAGACCAACCAGCAGCATTTCCATTTTTCTATATTAAACCTTCAGAGAATGAGAAAATAATAAGGAAGTTCTACCCTGAAGAGAAAGGTCCTGTCACAGATATTGACCCCATTGGAAATTCTCCTGTTATCATAAAGAAGGTAACTTTTATCCTACTAATATTTACATATATTTGTGGCACCCTGTTGTTGTGATAAATTCCGTCTCCTTTGAACAGCTGTGAATTTGAAAGAGGGTAAGAAAATGAGATAGGAAAGAATAAAAGCTGTAAAGTGATCTCTGTTGTTATTATTATATCAATAGAATAGGTACATGGGGATATATATAGTCTGAACAGTGAAACATAAATTAAAATAATGGCTAAATACATTAACTGTCATAATTAAGTAATTTCTTGTATGTTATTATAAGTAGAACTAGTATTAGCCTTCCTCAAGCTGATAATATCGCTAGATAGTGTCAGCTTATCTCGCAGCATGATAAATTGAGGTGTTGGCAAGAGTTTGGTAAATATATATGCAGGTTGATTAGCGGTAGGAATATAAACCACATTGACTTCTTAGATAGAATGCGTTCCGGCACAAAGTGATAATCAATCTCGATATGTTTGGTCCTTGCATGGAAAACCGGATTTTAAGCCAGCGCCATTGCAGATATGTTATCATAATAGATAGTGGTTGGTTGCTGAATATTGACTTTGATCCCATGTAGTAACCATCGGAGTCATATAACTTCCATTGCCATAGATGCAAGAGCTCTATATTCAACATCGATAGAAGATTTAACAATTGTCGGTTGTTTCTTAACTTGCCAGAAGGTGAAAGTGTTGCCCAGATAAGAATAGTTTCCTGTGAAAGACCTACAATCAGTGCGATCAATTGCCCAACTATTAGAATAAGAACGATGAACGAGTGGACCTGGTTGAATAGGTAGCTCGAGAATAAGAACGAAGAACAAGTGGACCTGATTGAATAGGTAGCCCAACTATCAGGAGGTGAGAGTATTGCCCAGATAAGAATAGTTTCATATGAAAGACCTACAATCAGTGTGATCAATTGCCCGACTATCAGAATAAGAACGAAGAGCGATTGGACCTGGTTGAATAGGTAGCCCGAGATCAAGAGTGCCTTTGATATATCGTAGAACCTATTTGAGATGTTGAAAATGGACATTTAAAGGTTTATGAAGATGTTGTGAGTGTTGATTGACGATATTGATGAGATATGGATGTGTTAGAGTAAGGTTCTGGAAGTAGTTGACAGGATGCATATAATGTTTGATATGATGTTCAATGCCTTGGACAATGATATGATGAAGATTAAACCAACGATTAGGTGGGATATGCCCGAATTTTAATCAAGTGATCATGGGATGATATGGGAGAGGAAAAATTAAGTGAGTAGGTTCGGGATTAGATGAGGAAGCTTGTGAACGAATATGTGGAGGATTCAAGAGGTAATCTAGAGCCAAAAGGAAGGGAGATAGATGAAGGGGTAATATGATGTGTGTTTTCAGGAAGATGGTTTCAGAGGGGGTTGATTTTGATGTAGAGGATTTATTGAGTGTACTGATAGGTAGCAATGTGATAGGCAGAAATGGAGATGAATGTTAATGTGGAGAAACTTCAAAATGAGCAACTTTACAGGGAATGAATGTTCATTGAAATGACGTCCCTGAAGATGATTTTTCCAGTATTGGGATTAAAACACTTGTACCCTTTGATGCGATCAGGATAACCGATGAAAAAACAGAGAGTATTTGCAATTTGTTTCGGTGAACGGGTGGGATCCATGGGTAGCAAGCACGATCATAAACAAGAAGATGTGAATAGTTCGGGATAGTGTTATGCAACATTTGATAGAGTGATTTATTATGAGTTATGGTGGAGGGCATGCAATTTATTAAGTATGTAGCAGTGAAAGCATTCTCCAACCATAAGGAGAGAGGAAGGTGTGAATGTGCAAGAAGGGCATGTGTAGTATCAAGAATATGCCTATGACTACGTTCAACAAACCCATTTTGTTGAGGGGTATGTAAGCACGAGGTTTTGTTGAATAATGCTATGAGTGTTAAGATATTGTGTAAACATATGATTCTTGAACTCACCGCCATTGTCAATTCTTAGTATTTTCATACGAGTTTAGAATTGAAGTTCAACACTTTGTTTGAATTTAATAATATGTGAGAAAACTCAGTTTTGTATGTCATAGGATATAGCTAAGAATAATGGGAATAATCATCAGTAAAAAAACACATAATATTTGTATCCTTGAAATAAAAAATAAGGGGAGGGACTTCAAACATCAGAGTGAATTAATTCCAAAGATTTATAAGCGTGATTATTGGAAAGTAAAAATGAAAGAAGATGGTGCTTAGCAGTAATATAATAATTATAAAAGGAGCATTTGCTAGAAAGTAAAAGCTATGACGTTTTTCGAGAATTAACGTCCGTGGAATGAGAGTTTACATGCCCTAGTTGTCTAGGTCAAAGATCTGAATGTGAGGAGGCGGAAAGAAGTGTGTGAGTTGAAGATGTTACAAGGTAGAGACCATTTTAACATGACCCTTGCAATATAATGTCTTGAGTATACCGGTTCTTGATGCAATAGCCATTAGAGTCGAAAGTGATGGAACAATAATTATTGTTGCTAGCTGAGAAATGGAAAGAAGGTTATGTGAAATATGCAGTGTGTGAAATATTTTTGAAAGAGAGAGAGCTTTTGATTGGCAGTTGGAAGCAAGTTTTTATGTATTGGGAATGAATTCACCATTACCAACTAACACTTGATCAGTACTAGTATATGTTGTGTACTGCCGTAGTTTGTCAAGATCAGTTGTAAGATGTTTTGTAACTCCCGAATCAAGGTACCAATCAAACATCAGAAGCGATAGAAGAAAGGTTGTCTTCTCCTACGGTTTTGTGGGTTGATACTTCAAATTGGTTCTATGCCAATATTTGGTAGCAACATGGCCCTTCTTATGATAGATTTGGCTGATGAGCCAAATATCCTTGTACGATTCAAGATTCACAACATAGGGAAGGATGACAACAAAGATAGTGGAGAAACTAGCAATGACAAGGTGTTGATCGAGAAGCATACTTAAAAAGTAAAGGCTGGATTTGACAAAACTACACCTTCAACATTGAGTAAGGTAATTGGGTGCAAGAGATTGACCCATCCAAGAATCCAAATAGTTCCTTGACTTTGATAATCTTCATAACCTGAGACCTCCATAAAGGGTAGTTTTTGGTGGAAAGAGAGGTATTCACAATGGTGTGCATGTTAGAGAATTTAATAGATGGAGGTATTAGCTTATCTGCGATGTTCAACGAAGGCAGACCAGTGTTCAGAGCTGAGGTGCTTTAGTCCTCCATAACAACAACGACAGAGCCATGAGGTCTTGAACTGGAGAAATGGATGGAGAGGAAGAGGAAGAATGACCTTCAATTTTCTTCGCCCCGGCGCATGAAGAATAAAGAACAATAGAGAGGATGAGAGCTGCTTGTGCGGGTGAACAATAGAGACCGAGTGATGGGACAGGTCTTTGGTCTGTGGCTTTGCATTTCCAAGAGGAAAAGGATGGCTCTCTGCTGTGTCATTCGTGAAAGGGAGAAGGCCAGAGGGCTCGTTTCGCACAAAGGAATCAGATGGGGCTGCTCCTTGCGAATCTACGGAGGAAGGAAATTCTTGGAAGATGCGATGAAGCTATGTCTCTGAAACCATTAAAGAGGGTAAACTTGGCTTGAGGAAGACAAAGGACAGTAAATTGAAAAGAGAGAGAAAGAGATAAGAAATGAGACTGGAATGAAAATTTCAAGCTGTAAAGTGATCTCACCTTTTATAATTATATCAATAGAATTGGAGCATGGGGCTAATAAAGGCTAAATACATTAATTATCATCATTAAGTAGTTACTTGTATGTTATTACAAGAAGTACCGTTATCAGAACTAACAATAGGGGCATTCACATACTTACCACCCAATTCCTATGTATTGACATATCTAACTCCTAAGCCTTGCTTTTTTATATTTACACCACCGAAGTCTTTCATATCACATAAAAAATATCACCATTTTAACTTTTAAAAGTGAATTATACCTTTCCATGCATTAGGTAAAGTGTTATGTATGTAAAAGTCAAAGTTTAGGTGTTTGGAATGTAAATACATGAAAATTGCGTCGTATTTATGTAAATCTTCCTTAACATTATTATTCCATTAACACCTACTCAGTCCCAACTGGAACAAATTGCTCCCACCTGGATGAACATCTCCTTGAGAATGAAAGAAGATCCAGAATCTGACAAAGCTTTTGGATGGGTGCTTGAAATGTGAGGATTGAAAGTTATTCCATTATTCCACAGAGTGTACAATTCTAATGTATTTACATATCTCGCACCTAAACTTTCATATTTACACACAGCACTCAAATCTTTAACATCACGTAAAAAAGTAGTACTATTATCATTTTTTAAAGGTAAAAAACTTAAAGCAGCAAAGTGCTATGTATATAAATATGAAAGTTTAGGGGTGAGATATGTAAATACATAAGAATAGTGTGCTGCATATGTAAATTTCCTTTTTTTTGGCAGCAACATAATGGTTTATATTGATTGGTTATCTGCCAATGTCAATTGTTTATTATAGGTATGCTTATGCTATTGCAAGCGCATTTCATGGAGTAAGACACATTCTTCATAAAAATTTCATGATACAGGTATAATGCAAAATTTTCAGATTTAAGGTCTGTTTGGGCCAGCTGCTGCTTATTGAATAATCTGCTGATAAACTAGGTGCGGTTGTTAATACAAATTTTTTCCTTTTTTTTGGAAAAGCCATACCGCTGCAAATAAGCTGCTACCGCATCTAGATAGGTGCGGTGTGAAAACGCTGTTTTCTGTGTTTTGAAAACGCATAAGCTGCCAAAACGCAATTTACCCAAACAGGTCAGGTGCGTTTTCAAAATGTCACCGCACCAAATAAGCTGCCCCAATTAATGTTTCGGGATTAGTTTTATTTTATTTTATTTTTGTTTTTTGTTTTGAAAAATATGTTTGTTTAGTGTATTTTTTAAAATATTTTTATTTATTATTTATAAAAATAAATTAACATGTTTTTTTTAATTTTTTTGAGTTGGGCCGTTTTTAAAATATCTTCTAATGGTTCATTTCAGCCTCCTTGGGACTTAAAAACAACAAATTCATTTATTATCCACTACACTTATGGCTGTGACTACTCATTGAAGGTATATTTTTTCTTGGTATAATATTTATTTCATTGATTTTTGTTCATTACATATCCTACATTTATTCAGTTTTATTGAATTGAATCATGAAATTTCATTTCGAAAAGGGCGAGCTGACTTATGGAAGGATTGGGGAATGGCGCTTTGACAAGAGATCATATATTCGAGGTCCGCCGCCGAGAAACCTTCCCTTGCCCCCACCTAGAGTTCCTGAAAGTGTGGTATGTCGAAGCGGTTTATGTTTTTTAGTAAATTTACTTGCATACCACACAATTCCTATGCATTTATATATCTAACATTCTAAAGTTTGATACTTACATTTATAACACTTTGGTATTATTGTGTGCTGGAGAATTCACGACGGTTGAGTGATATATTAATGCCTTTGTGCTATATGAAAATCCAGTATACACAGCTACCACAACAACAACAACAACAATAACAAACATTTATCCCACTAAATGGGGACCTTAAGACACACAGACACACACATAATAAATTAAAATAAAATAATAGAAGGGACACCTGAGGTTTTTACGTGGAAAACCCGAAGAGGAAAAAATCACGGGGTCTATCCAAGTTGAGATAATTCTGCTGTGTCAATGTAAGTTACAAGACTTTTTCAGCCTTTGAATCCCTATGAGCAATATTACATGAGTGGGATGTGAATTTCGCTAGAAAAGTGTCAGAAAATGCTGAGGAGGTGACCGTGACCCAAGTGCTACGAAGAAAACCCGACGGTAGAGGTTTAATGCCAGAAAATATGATGTTAGCATCGACAGTAGTGGCGGCGACGGTTGTTGGGCAACAGAGGTCCGACGGTGATGACGGTGGTTGTCTGGCGGTGATGGTGAGGGTGCGATGTCAAAAGCGATGGAGGCTGGGTAGTAGTGATCTGACGACAACGACAATGGTGGTCACATGGCGGTGGTCCGATGGTGGTGACAGTGATTGGGTGGCGGTTGTAGCCGGATGGTGAAGACTGGGCGACGACAGTCCGACGGTGGCGGCAACTAGGTAGCAGTGGTTGGGCAACAATGAACCAGCAGTGGCAACAATTCTATGTCTGTGGTTGGGCAGCTGTGGTGGAGGCCAGATGGTGGTGGCTGGGTAACAGTGGCCTGATGGTGGCGGGGGCCAAATGACGGCGGACAAGCAATGGTGGTCCGTAAATGTCGGCGGCTCAACAACATTGACCAGACAAGTTTTCGGGGGCGACGGAGGCTCGACGATGGTGGTCAGGCAGCTGTGGTCCAGTGTCGACTTTGATGGTTCGACGATGGTGGCCAAACAGTTGTAGTCTAGTGTCGACTTCGACAGCTCGACGGTTGTGGTTAGGCAGCATTGGTCGTGCAATTGCGGCGGCTCGACAGCGTTGATCAGAAGAGGTGATCGGACGCTGGTGATAACTTGGTAGTGGTGGTCATGTGGCGATGATGGTGATATGGTTATGGCGGCAGTATGATGGTGGTGGAGCTTGGGAATCCTCAAGGCTTTGGAGTTCCTTTAGCATTCTCTTCTAGGTCTAGGCCTCCCCTCATGATGATAGTGGGGCTCTATTTATAGATTTTGAGGGTGACATCATCTGTAAATATTGCATGAATATGGATAACTCTATTAGATGACCTAAAGTAATTCCCTTGATCAGATGACGTTCTATAAATATTAAATGTCTTAATGATGCATAATTGAGTGATCTTGGATTCATTGGATTCGTCTCGTCGAGACGCTCGATTTGATTTTAAGCTTGTCAGATGTGAAATCCATTTAACCATTCGACCTGTCTTAATTGAACCCAAGTTGGACCAAGTTTAGAGTAACTAGATTTGTCTTGTAGAGTTATTTTGGTCGAGTGCCTTTCAGTTTGATTACAAATTTGATGAAATCGGAGGTTGGATGATCATGAATCCGTATTAGGAATTGTTTTCGGCTCAAACTGCTCCAAGGCTCGTGTATGATTAAAATAATTTTCGATGATATATCAGATGCCATAAACTTATGCATGAAAAAATGCATTTTACTTTTAAAAGTCATTAGAAGTGATATTAAAGATTTGAGTATTGTGTATGTAAACATAAAAAATTAGATGTTAGAAATGTCAAGACATAAAACTTATGTGGTATGTATGGAAATCCCCATTTTTTATCATTTAATGCTTTGCTTTAGTTAAATAAGCAAAAAATGCCTTCAATATTTAGATTAGTTATTATGTAATGAACCACATAAACTAATGTTCTATACTTCCATAGGATCAATTAAACCGTGAATGCTTCTTTAATATGTATTTAAACAAGCCCCCATTCACAATTCCACAGTTTCAAAATAATTAGAAACCCAAGGTGCAATTTCTCTTTCCTTCGACCTCGTGTTGGGGCATTCAAATACATAACACAATTCTTACGTATTTACATATCTCACAACTAAAATTTCATATTTACGCACAACACTCAAATCCTTAATATCACATAAAAAATAGCACTATTATCACTTTTTAAAAAGTAAAATATGCAATTTTATGCATAAGTTTAAAGCACTAGGTTGTTGCATGTAAACATGAAAGTTTTAAGTGTGTGATATATAAATATATAAGAATTGTGTGCTATCGCATGTAGATTTCTCAATTATGTTCACCCGTATTAGTAAGGTTTTAGTCTCATAATATAAAGTTTGGTTAGTTTTGTTTGATTGAACATATGAACAAATAACTTTAGGGTCCATTTGGGGCTGTGTGGCACTGCACCATAATTTTGTCTGTTTGGGTAAACTGTGTTTTGATAACTTTTTCAAAAAGTTGTTGCTGAAATATGTGTTTTCTTATCACTCCTGGTTTGGTGTGGCGATAGCTTTTTAGCCGCGGTCTGATTTGAAAAATAATTATAATAGCTACTGTAATTTTTTTAGTATCAGATTATTATTCAACAACTTCATAGTTGCTTTTTAATGAGTTTTAGTTGCTCCAAACAAATCATTAATTAAAAGCATTTGCATGTCACCCCAAAATTAAGCCTAATTAGGGTCCGTTTGGGGCAGTTTATTTGTTGCGGTGACGTTTTGAAAACACACCTGACCTATTTGGGTAAATTACGTTTTGGCAGTTTATGCGTTTTGAAAACGCTTAAAACAACGTTTTCACACCGCACATATTTAGATGTGATGGCAGCTTTCAGCGGTATGACTTTTCCAAAAAAATAAAAATTTGTAATAGCCACCGCACCTAGCTTATCAGTAGATTATTTTTAATCAGCTTTTTTTAATCAGCTTATCAGCAAAATTATTCAATAACCTGCAGCTGCCCCAAACAGACACTTAGTCTTGTTCGAAGTGATTGATAAGGCTTATTAAAATCCCGTCTCTATCACACGCGCGCGCGTACACATGCGCATCTGCAACCAAGTGCACCTGCGCGCACACAGGAGCACACGCATCTGCGAACACTAACACATAAAGGTTAAGATTGTTTGATTGACATAATCAAGTCCCCGGTAATAGTTAATGGTTATGACGCAGGCTAATTTAGTTGTGTTAATTGCTAATTTACTTAATTAGGACTTCAGCTCTTAAAATTAGATTGAATTAGCTCAATTAATTGAACCAAGTCCCAATTAACATCATAATCAATAAGTACAATTAACCATAAATGTCATTACAATGAATTTAGTGTCCATTGAGAAATGCCTTCGATTTATTTAATTAGTTGTTTTTTTTTGCAAATTGCATTCAACTTTCTTATAATTGCGCGCTCGACCTTATGGCATATTATTTGAAAACAAAGTGAAGCATTCCAAAGGATTGTGTTCGAGCGCTCATCCTGCAAATAAACATACACAAGTTTGCACCGGTTTCGCGAAAAAAAAGACGCAAAAAATTTGCGAACTTGTTTGATTAACTCGAGTTAAATATTCTAACCTGTGGTTATTGCAGGTAACCCTTGTGAAAATGGTGAATGAAGCTACTGCTAACATTCCTGATTGGGAAGAGGGAAGGTAGATGAGCGGTAGACTCTGCAAGGAGTGCAGATACACCGATCAATTGATCTAACATTTTCTTGCAAAAAAAAAATTTGAATTTTCTTGGCATTTACATATATACCACCCAATTTATTTAAGATATGTAAGTCCATAAGAATTGAGGGTATGGATGTAAATGATTTATTATTATGATTATTTGCATAGTTAGAAAGTTTAGTTGCTTTTGGTGACATTTGATTGTTGATTTCAATCTGAATTTGGTAATTTTTTAGAAATAATAATTAAAATTATAAATTATATTAAAAATTAATATGTTTAACTTGATATAATGAATTTTTTGTATTTATATTTTGATGTGATTTATATAAAATATTAAAAAAAAATTAGATATATAAAATTTCATAAATGTGATATCATTGATGTGTCATATGCTACTCATAAAACAATAACATTTTGAGCAATACATTGACACTAATTATTATTTATTTATTTTTTTTACTTGAATTTATTAAAAATTAGGTTTTCATTTATTTAAATGATTTATGGCATATTTGAGGTCATTTTATTTTTTTATTTTCCAATTTTTTATTTTCTTATTTCGTGTTGTTTATATTTTGATTTGAATTAAAATATGTTTAGGCGTGATAATTATTTTAAAAACACTCGAAACAAATGTTTCAAATATTTTTAAAATAAAGTTAATTATTTAGAAAATATATATATATAATTGCAAATATGCTTTAAAAAATAATAGTGAAAATGAGAATAAAAATGATGTCAAACGAACTCTTAATGTTTGGCTTGTAAAGAATTATTTGGTGAATGGAGTAATGTATGTGAAATAATGTAATGCTAAGTGAGCCCACCACTTTGATTAGAAGAATTGTTCTATTTTTTTTTGTAAGGAATGAATGGAGGCTATTATACGAGTCTCAGTCATTGCTCATGCGTCTATAGTTTGAGAATTACACCCTACACTCGGGGGGAATCAAACTCAAGACCAGATGAGACTTACAACTGACAAAAAGATGTCCGACAAATTGATCTGAGTACGCGGAGCAGAAGAGCTGTTCTACTTGAACTGATATCTGTCACATTATCTTAATGAACTAGTTGAAGTCGGCAGAACGTGTATTCTGAGTTGTCTTGCCAGATTGATCAAATCAATTGTCTTCATGTACTTTTGAATATGCTACGAATGTTCTGATCAGGTCTCATGCTTGATTCTGCCCTATAATTTAAACATATTCATGAGGATTAAGAATGAGAGTATTTATTTTTGTGTGAAAAATTAATCAATTTAAATGCACTAATAGTAAAAATAATGAGATAATTACATATATACCAACCAAAAAATTGATATTTATAAATTAAGCATTCGGGTGATTTTTTTTTTTTAATTATCAAACTAACGTATTTACACGTGTCACATCAATCTATTGGGAATTTGATAATAATTAAAAATATTGGTTGCGACTTTATCATGAATTTTGATGTTTGAGTGAGAACTTGAAAAATAGATTTAAGAAAGTGGTTGATTCGTAAATAACAAGTTTCGGGTGATCTACATGTAATCGCCCCTTAAAAAACATATCAAACAACAACAATATAAAGATTAAAAGCATAAACATTAATAAAAATATTGCATGATAGAATATTCACCATGCCACTCAAATGAGATTATTATTTTAAAATTACAAGAATACCTAGCACAAACACCTACACGTAAACTCAAACCCACAAAAAAACATTATATCAGCAGTCCTGATGCAGAAATGTATCAGCACTCCAATAAAATTACGTCATGTGTCTGGATGAGACAGACCATACATTAAAGTATATATATATATATATTATTTAGTGGGTCTGTCGTATGACGTGACGCAGTTTCATTAGAGTCTTGATGTAGTTCTGCATCAGGATTCAAAATCACAATTACCAAGTTTTACTCAAATCAGATGTGTACAAACTAAATGTATTCTTTCAAGATATTTTGTTTACACTTCAGCCCACAAAAAGCACAGGAATTCCTGTGAGTAAAGTAAATCAAAATTACTTATTAATAAAACAATCATCTGCTCCAAATGCAGAAACCTAAAAAAGAAAACTGAGCTAAGCCAGCCATTTCCAGGCTCCAACCAATCTGCTAAGAAGAAACTAAAGAAACCAGCTAATAAAGCCTGAAGAGCTCTCCACCTCCATCCATGGCATCTCTGAACATTCAGAAACTGCAGCAGAAGTATGTAATTTATTTATCTTCTATGAAAACTCTACAGATAAAATCCTTGAAACGTTTGGCATATTGAATGGGATCCACTGCTGATATTGAGGTTGGATCAAACTGAAAGGATTTGTAAGCATGTTCAATCTTTTTGGAGATGTCGTAGTCTTGTAGTATGTCGATGATGCCGAAGAAGAGGATCACGTCGTGGAGTTCTCCGGTCGGCTCGCCGATCAATTGTGTCTCGCAGCCGTCGCGTCTTACGGTTCGTTCGACCCGGGCCGACAGGCTCACACCTAATCTGATTGGCGGCGGCCTGAATTGAATTCAATTTTAGATTATGTCAGGGAAGGTTTATATGTGATTTAGACTCAGACTCATAGGTTGAAGAGAATTTACACGCATATCACTCAATTCCTATGCATAGGAATTGCGTGGTATGCATGTAAATCTTGCATATATGTAATGATTGTCGGCGGTAAATGTATTCATAATCGAGATACAAACTAGTTATATTTCATATGGGGTGTTCTTTTTGGGAAGTTTTTTTGGGGCATCTTTTTTATAGCTTTGTTTTGTGGATAGGTAGCATAAATCTTTTTCTGTTGTGATTCGAAAATTTATGTAATGAGAGGGGTTTTACATAATTAGATATGTTAGTGTAGTAGTCATTAGAAAGGTGCTTGTTTGGGACAGCTTTTATAAAGCTTTGTTTTGCAGATAACTACCATAATTCTGTTTGTGAATCACATCGAAAGAATAGAGCGTAAGATTGAAGAAAGAGACAGAAAAAAAAAAAAAAAACATAGTATGAACATTAATCTGAATTGTTGATCAGTTTTTTCTCAATAAATGATCCCCTATTTATAGAGAAGGGTGTATACTATATGAAATTACATGTTTGCCCTTACTTTAATAGAGGCGTTATAGGATATTTTGGGAATTTTACACGAATAGGCCTACTGTTCAGCTACCCTATGAATCGGTCGACTAGAATCAATGTCTTGGTTCGGCAAGACCTGTTCGTCTAACTGATAAATCAGGTTGTAGATCGGCCTTTTATGATCTTTAATTGAGCAAAACTTGGCTCGATTGACTTGACTTTGATAACTGACTATTAATACCTAGGTGAGGAAAATGAGACCAAACCATCGGGCAGAGGGTAAATTTCCATAATCTGACGGATAACTCATACGTCAACGAGGGAGTTCTTCGGGATGCTTGGTAGATTACGTTATGGTCAGTTCTTAGTCCCTTTGCTCTTTCAACCTTTTTTCTTAGCGGGTTTACCCATTTGTTCGAGGATGATGTACAGATGCAAATTTCAGGCCGATCCCTTGACTTTGGCAGAAGTCTTTCACTCATTGATCGGCAAATTGTGTTCCGTTGTGGGTGATAATGACACTGAAAATCCGTAGCGATAGATAAGACCCGTATAGATGAAGTTCCGGACAACTTCTGAAGTAATCCGAGCGAGCATCTTGGCTTTAATCCACTTGGGGAACTAATCCACGACGACAAGAAAAAACTTATGTTGGTCTTGCAATGGTGGAAATGACCCAAGGAAATCTAGTCCCCAAACGATGAAAGGCCAAAAGCTAGTAATTGGTTTCAGCTTGTGTGTAGGCCGATGTTGTGGTGGTGTGTGCTTCTGTTATTGCATGCATCTCCTAGAGAATTCATTGGCATCTTTTTGTAGTTTCGGCCAAAAGTAACCTAGTTGTTGCACAATGGGCACAAGAGTTTTTCCTTCGGAATGGCTTCCGCACTTCCCAAAGTGTACTTCTTGGAGGACATCTTCCTCCTCATTTTCCCTTATGCACCTTAGGTATAATTAACTGACCGACCACTGTAAAAACTTCCCTTCGATCAGGAGATACTGGGTGACCATGATCTTAAACATCCTTAGGACGACAAAGTCTTCTAATATCTTTGCGGTCTCAAGGTACTAGATGTAAGAATCCATCCAATAATTTAGACCTTGATCTCCATTTCTATCGACTCTGGTTCTTCAATGGTCGGTTGGACCATTCTTTGGGGCATCCCCTTCCCCAAGCGGGTGCTCTTGGACAGGAGGTCCGCTACTTGGTTCTTTTCTCGGCCAATGTGCTTGATTTTAAAGCCTTCAAATCTCTTAATCCCCATTCTCACATTGCTGAGCTATCTAGCCATCATGTATTCTCTGACCTCGATTCACCATTTTCTTGGTTCACCACCAACTGTAAGTCGAATTTCACTAAGACATCTCGGGCACCCATCTAGTAGGCGAGCATTATATTTGGCCTGATTGTTGGTAACCTCAAACTCAACTTCAATTGAATGGTAGATGAGCTCCCCAATCAGATTGGTAAGAGCGAGATAAAGTCCCGCCCCTATCTGGCTTGAAGCTCTGTCAATGTCCAACATCAAGGTCTAGCTTTCAGAAGGTGCTCCTTCGTTTGCTTCACTCAACTTGAAGAAGTCTGTCAAGAAATTAGCTATCGCTTGCGCTTTGATTGTGGTCCGGGATATGTAGGAAATGTTGAACTTACTAAGTTCTACTGCTCACTTGAGAAGCTGACCAGAGTACTCCGGCCGAGTAAGGACGGATTTGAGTGGGTGATCAGTGATGATCCGAACTGGATGCATCTAGAAGAACGGTCACAATCTACGAGCAAAAATAACAAGAGCAATTATTTTTTTCATGATGGGTTACCCGAGTTTGATGCCTTAGAAAACTCAACTGATGTAGTAAACTGGGAATGATTTCCCAAGCTTCTCTCTGACTAAAACCGAACTGATGGCTTCAGGTCCGACTTCCTAGTACAGAGAACGCTCTTCGTTCAGTTTGGAGCTCTGGAAAAGTGGTAAAGATGCTAAGGAGTCCTCCAGCTTCTCGAATGCCTGCTCACATTCTGCCGGTCGGGTGAAGTTTTTCACTTTCCTTAGAGTTTTGAAGGATGCCGCACATTTGTCGCCCGACTTGGAAATAAACTGGAGACTTGCTATCTGACCGATCAACTTCTGCACTTCTTTGGTGTTTTGAAGGGAAGACATATCCAACAATGCTTGTATTTTGCTTAATATTGGTTTTTTTTCTCTCCAGAGTTAAGATATAGCCGTGAAATTTTGCCTGTAGATGCTCCGAAAGTGCATTTCAATGAATTTAATCTCATATTGAATTTTCTAAAATTTTCGAGAGTTCATTTTAGATCTTTGATATGCTGTTCGACCATTTTTTTTAATCAACACATCATTCACATACACTTTAGTATTTATTATTTTTTTGTCTCAAAAAGATAGCATTCATTAGCTGCTAGTAAGTTGTCATGATATTGTTAAGCCCAAAGAGCATTACATTATAGCAGAATACACCTTCACTTGTTATGAAAGTAGTCTTTTTTTCGTCGGCCAGATGCATCTTTATGTGGTGGTACTCGGAGAAGGTGTCTAGGAAGCTCATCACTGAATAGCCGACTACTGAATCTAATAGTGCATCGATCCTTGAAAACGGGCAGCTATCTTTCGGATAAACAAAATTTAGGTTTATGAAGTCGACGCACATCCTCCACTTGTTCATTTTTTGTACCATCACTATGCTCGATACTCCGGTCGATTATTGCATCTCTCGCACATATCTGGCCTCTAACTGCTTCTGCAGCTCCTGGATTAATTTGGCTAAAGGTGACAGCTAAAGACCATATCTTATGCTTTATCGGTCAAAGCCAGGATTGATATTCAGTAGATGACATGTTGCGTCGGTCGGTATACCTGACATTTCAATGGCTGACTAGACAAAAAAATCTCAATACTCCCTGGGGGTTTTAATCAATACATCTTTTGACATTACATCAAATTTTAGCTTATTAGAAAAAAATCTACCCAGTTTGCTTTCGGTTGTCGGGATTTCAATAGTGGTTTTGCTGGTCTCGAGACACCCTTCGAGCAGGTTATAAAAAATGAGCAGCTCTTGCTCCATACTTCTGACCACCCAGAGGTAACAGATTTAGAATTTTTCTGCCACATAATACGTTGAAATGAAAACCATGAATTTGTTGAGCAAGGGTCGGCCAAAGATGAAGATGTTAGTTCGCGACGAGTCGACTACCAAGAATACGACATATTGGTAAACTACTTCTTGTTTTACCTCCAGTTGACCGATAGGGCTATTATTCCCAAGACTTCTTTTCTCTCATCAGAGAAGCCATAAAGTGGGTCAGCAGTTGATGTCAGTTGGTCATATTTCAGGCCAATCCTGTTAAAAACTGACTTGAACATAATTTTCACGGAGCTCTCAGTGTCGCCAAGGATGCCACTGATATGGTAGTTGCATATTAAAGTTGTAACGACTGTAGTGTCATTATATCGTCGGTGAAAAGAATAGGAGGATGTCAGCTTCATTTTGAGATGAATGTGGTTGCACACATTTCTCATGACCAAAGACTCTTGGGCTTGCTTGACAAGACGATTGTCCACCTCCTCCGAAATAGCTGGGACTATATCAGCGATGCGAATTTCATGTGCTCAGACTGACTCATCTGAAATTTTCTCTACGAATCCTTCCCCTGTCGCTTCGTGTTTGCTCCTGATGCCACGAACTCCTTTAGTTCACCAGCCCTAATCAGCTCCTCAACTCTGAAGGTGTCGGCATTCTTCCGTGCCGTGGTCGTGATCCCTAAGTTATCTACAATACTTCTTTAGTTCTTGGAGATAGGCTCCAGTTTTCATTGGGGGAACACTCTTGAAATACTTATTGTTTTGTATGGCCTCCACCATCTTGGTTATGGATACCCTCAACATGGTTATTTTGGGCACCTCATGATGCGGCGAATCGGCCGCTGGTCAGGATATTGTGCCTAACTCCCATGATTGTAGGGTATGTCGGCTTGCATGTGATCCCCGAGCAATCGATTATCTTCATAGCACGAGTGGAAGGGCGTGAATCATCCCTCACTCTCCACTTGTCGTCCTTGAGAGTCCTCTTCTGTAGATGATGGGCGAAAAATTCTGCTCCGACAGAAGTATGGGTGGAATTATAGTCTTCGACAAATGTGTGATTGTTGGCCAGTTCCAACAACTCGGTCAGGGTCATCGGTCGATGTAGACTCAACGCATATTGAAAGGGACGTTCCTTCATCCCTTGGCCAAGAGTGGCGTGTGCTATTGTGGGTTCCAGATCCCGCACTTGGAACATCTCAATCTAAAATCGAGTAATGAACAAGTAGAGACTCTCGTTCTGCCCGTCTTATCTAAAATAAGGCTTATGGGCATTGGTGAATTGCGCCGCAAACATTATTCTGAAGTCAACGAACAAGATGATTACCCTTGGTGGCAATTCATTGAATCACCATAGGGCTGACTCCCTCAGCGTGGTGCAACACTTCAATGTGTATGTGATCTTCAACAAGCAAACAATCTACTTAAAGGAAGCTAGGTGGTCAGATGGATTAGTCCGACCTTTGTAGATTCCAAAGCAAGAATTTTGAATATTTCTGGGGCTTGGCTTCAGAAATCTGTCGAGAGAACACATTCTCTGGCTGGCGGGGCGCCTCAGTACGCTCAAATTGCTGTCAATGTCGACCCGGAACTATTGAGGTACTGGAAATCTTATTCTCTTTCCACAAGCAAGGGTGCCCTCGAGCGTTGGGAGAGCTTCATCTCGGAGGTTTTGTCTTCCCCGAGCCAATGACTCTCTAAGGGCATCCATCATGTGGTCTTTCAACTTGAGGATTGGCTATTGCACAAAGTCCATGGTGCACTCTATGTTATACGTGTCTCAGTTGAGATTTTTTTCTCCGTGTGCTACTCTTCTTATTTGTGGCATGATCGACACTCACCACATCTTTTAGAATGCTAAATTCTGCTATGTTCATAAATCACACCCAAGGAATATAATGTAAGACAGAAGAAAGAGGGAGAGAGAGAGAGAGAGGGAGAGAGAGAAATGCACAATAATGAACAGTAATTTGAATTATTGATTAGCTTCTTCTCATAAAATGATCCTCTTTTTATAGAGGAGGGGGTACAATATATGAAATTAAATATCTACCCTTACTTTAATGGGGACGTTACATTATATTTTAGGTATTTTACACGAATAAGCCTACTGTTTGAATACCATATGACTTGTTAGGTTGAAATCAATAGATCTTAGTTCATCGAGATCTGTTTCTCCGACTGTGCTGAATCAGGATTCCCAATCGGCCTTTGGTCTTTAGATCGACAAGACTCTACCAAATCAGCTTGGCTTTGTCGGGCTGGCTACTTTGGTTTGGCTATCGACTATTAACCCTTTGTGAGCAGCTCTTGTTGGCAGAATGAGACTAAACCATCAGACAAAGGGTAAATCACCATAATTTCACAAATAACTCATTCCTTCACAAGGGAGTCCTTTGGGATGCTTGGTAGATTACGTTATGGCCAGTTCTCGGCCCCTAATGAGGAACCTCAAGGGCGTTCGTGAGATGGTTGGCGACAATGAGCTCTTCCTTTGAGGCGGGTTATGGCAATAGGTAGGTACATGCCTCTACTTATCCCCGGTTTAGGGGGCTGCACCCGGTCAAGCGAGTCCTTTGGTCTTTTGCCGGTGGGCCATTTGATCTTTGGCTTCCGATCGTGAGTACTTTAGTCTTCTGCTAGTGGGCTCTTAAATCTTCCGCTCGTGTGCCCTTCGGTCTTTCGCTAATGAAACCTCTATTGCTCATGGGTCCTTTTGTCTTTCCCCAGTGGGCCCTCCTTAGTTGTACCACTTTGTCCCTTTATCTGTTGGATCTCCTAGAAATTCGTGCAGACACGTTTCTAATGTACATTTTTTAAAAATATATGTGATGAGGGGGACATTTTACAACTAGGTACGTCGGTGTAATAATAGTAACAAAACTGACGTACAATTAGTAATATCTCATTTTGTGTTCGCTTCGAAAATCTTTTAGATAGTTTTGATCTGCAGATGGCTACCACAATTATGTTGGCTATAATCTTTTTGTTGTTTTCAGAAAAATTATATCATGAGAGGAACATCTTATAACTAGATACTTCAGTGTAGTTGCTATAAAAATGTTGTTGTGCAACCTTTTACAAAAAAAAAAAAAAATAAACCCATAATTATATCCATAATTTTTTAAAAAAAGTGCATCTTCCCACAATAAATTTACAACTATTTTAGATTGCAATAACCCCACACTATTCTTATGTATTTACAAATCTAACACCTAAACCTCTATATGTACATGTAAACCACCAAATTTTTAACTCCATATCAAAAATATCCCTACAAATACATCTTTTCATGCATAAGTTTATGACATCATATCCCGTTATGAATGTAAGCATCAAACTTTACATGCTAGATATGTACATAAATAGGAATGGTGAGTATGAAATTCATGATTTTTACCAGGCTGGATCAGACAACTTTGAGAGCCTTCCATACCGGCCTCCAGTAGCAGCGGCAGCATCATCTTTAAAATGAGCACCCACTAATAAACTGTAATCCATTATCCTCTCCTGCTCCAAAAACTCACAATCCCTCTCCACCTGCCTGCAACAATTCAAACCATCCGAAGCATCAGCCCCATAACATCCACGAAATCCACATAACAAAATTAAAAAAAGAAAAAAAAATAACAATAATTTACCACTGAAAATCTACAAACCACTTTTTCTGCAACCTGAACAAGAAATTAAGGTCCAGATCTTTCAACGTCGTGGTCTCATCGATTTCCCATTCAGGTTTATCGGTGATGCGGCCGAGAGACGATCCTTTCAGATCGAAACGCCTGTGAATCGGGTATTCGGAGCAGAACAGATTTCCCATGATCACAAAGCGAACCTGATTCATTTCGAGGTCGGCGAGAAGAAGAGATTACAGAACATCCATGGAAGAACTGGATCGACGATTTCAACGAAAAAGGATGGGGGAATTGCTCTAACCTTCTTCTGCGATGGCCCGGTTAGCTTGACGCAGTGCAGGCCGAAGAATCTGGTCACTAGGGTGTTCTTAAAGCATGCGACATGACTGAAGTAGCCGGGAAGCATTCTGATAAGAACCTGAGAGAGAATGGCAGCGGTGGGGATGATGGAAAAATTACACACATACCACACAATTCTTATGTATTTACGCATAAAAGATGCAAAATTTGATTTTTATACTTATAATTAAGTAAATTTAAGAGATTTGCACGACTTAGCCTTACTGTACTGTGCCTCTTCGTCTTCTTCAGTCAAATATTTAGTGTTGAAAACAATTTAGGAAGAATTACATCCATACCACTCAAATCTTATGTATTTACAGAGCTAACAACTAAATTACAATTTTAACCATGCAAAACATTCAATATAATATTTTAGCCGCCCAAACTATCAAGAATAACATTTTAATCAATCAAAACTCTAAATATAACATCTTGATCACTAGCGAATAATAAAGTATAGATGGTTAAAATGTTTTATTAAATATTTTGAGTTAAAATTACATAAAATCCCATTTTTAATCATAAATATCTAAAAGGAAATAAGAAGATTACAGCCAAACAGCACTGTAATAGCAGTTTGAAAAGCTGAAGAGCGAGAAAGTTCTCACCTTTGCTTCGGCCTTCTTCATTGTTTTGATCATGTAGCGATCATCATTCGTGAGGTAAAAAAAGCTTCCACTCTTTCGGGGAGAAGAGCGCTCTTTCCGGGAGAAGAGAGCTCTCGAAGCGCTTCGTCCCCGCAAATCGACATCATGTAATCAGCTGCATCAACCTTGAAAAGATCCCTCAAGCTTCTGCAAATCCAATACATCAACAATATTATCATCTATACAACATGATATATTCATGAAAAATGTGTATTTCAGTTTTTAAAAGTAAAAAATGAGCGTGTTTTTTATGCCATGAGAAAATTTTGGGTGGTTTAAATGCAAAAAACAACGGCTAGATATTTAAATACATAAGAAATGAGTGGTATGAATGTAAATGTCCCCTAAAAATATTTACATATATCACTCAATTCACTTCAATTTTTACATATATGCCATCTTGCTCATGCATGAAAAAGGTGTATTCAGTTTCTTCAAAGTTAAAAAGTGGAACTTCTGAAGATTTGAGTGGTATAAATGTAAAAAAATAAAATTTAGCAAAGAAATATATAAATAAATAAGAATTGGACGGTATGTGTGTAAATGCACCTTAAAAATATTAGCTTCCATACAACATCAGAGGTTTACATACATGGCCACTTGCTTATGCATATGATATTTTGAAGTGCTTGAAATGTAAATACATAAGAATTGTGTGGTATTTATGTATAAAAAGACTTCCCAGACTGACCTGAAAACCTGAGGGCAGTAATCCTTCCACCTAAAATCACAAGACTGGTGTGGAGGTGTGAGTCTTGTTCCTTCAGGAGGAAACTTTGTCCATATTTTATCTTTAGGATCAAAAGCTGAAGTTTTCAGACTAATTGTTGCTGGCTGAACTGATTGTTTTCCCACTGAATGTCTGTGCCATTACACCATATAAATATAAATAATTAAATTACAATGACAATAACACATTCAGAAAAAAAATTCATTAAGATTTACATACATACCCAGCTTGCTGAAAATTATGATCAATCAATGCAAATTTTTTAGTTTTTTTTTTTTAAAAAGAGCAATTTTGAACTACCTGATTCCGAGCTGCAGACTAAGCATCAGCTCATAGTTCTTATGCCCCCTCGATATCGTCGCCCCCTGCTTCTTCGCCGCCGTGCTCCACCTAAACTTCACCCTTTTCCGGCCACTACCATCCCCCTCCGAAGAATCCCCCCGGTCACCAATGCTACAGCAACCTTCTTCCTCCTCTCCACCCCTATCCGAATCTAACCTAACTCCATTGTCACTTCTAACCTGAACACTAGTTCTAGACCAAACGAACCTTTTCTGTGAGGGCAGAACAGATATCCTCTCCGCCGCCGCGATCCTCCCCTCCTTCATCACGGCGGCGATTAACGATTTACGCTCCGCAAGTGTCCCTTCGCCGGCGGGAAACCCCGCATCCCAATCGCCGTCGTATCGATCTCCGGCGGCCCAAAGAAATGTACCGATCCCGTGAAAAACCCCGGCTCTCCATTGACCGAAATACTCGTTTCCATTAACCCAGTTGTACTGACCGTACCCGTCGGGGAAACCGTAAACCCACTCGCCGTCGTAGAAATCGCCATTAGAGTAAGATTGGGTACCGTCCCCATTCCTCCGGTCCATCGACCAGAAACCCTTGTAGGTTTCGCCGGAGGAATCGGTGTAGGCACCGAAGCCGTCGAGGAATCCGTCACTGAAATAGCCCTCGTAGATGGCGCCGGAGGGCCAGGAGAACTTACCCTGGCCGTTGGGGAGGCCGTCGGAGGACCATTGGCCCTCGTACATGCAGCCGTCGGACCAGACGTACTTACCGGAGCCTTTAGGGTTGCCGGTGGGGGCCCATTGGCCTGTGTAGAAGTCGCCGCCGGGGAGGTGGAATTCAGGGTAATGGCGGCGGCGGAGGGGAGTGGGGGAGTCGTCAGTTGGGGTGACGGACATGGGGGAGAAGAAGGAGGGGGTCCCAAGGACCGTGGAGTACCAGAGCTTCATAATCGGGGATCTTTTTTAAGAGTTAGGGTTTTTGATTTCTTCTTCTATCTTCCCGAACCAGCTCCATGAACAGAGCTCGCGCATTGCTCCACCTCACTTCCTTTCTCTCTCCCTTCCGTTTTTTTGGGATTTTTACACAGCTAGCACACAATTCTTGTGTATTTACATATCTCACCCCTATATTTTTATATTTACATACAGCACTAATGTTTTAAATCTATATGTAAAGTTGACAATATAGATTTCATTATGAAATTTTTATTGATAGATATGTAAATACAAAAAACTTATGTGCTAATTATGTAAATGTCTGTTTTTTTTCTAATTTTATGTTCTTCTTAGTGCATTTCATTTGATCGAAAAAAATCAGGACTACTAATACATTCAGAGTGTAATGGTTGGACGTCACTTGTCAAGTGGGCTCCACCATTAACGATGGGACCCACTTAGACTCGTGACGTCCCACCATTGAACTCGAAACACAACCATTAACGATGAGACCCACTTAGACTCGTGACGCCCCATTATTGAACTCGAAACACAAATTAAATTAGAAGTCCTGATGTAATATTTTATCCATTTGATAATGATAATTTTTTATTTTTATTTTAAAAATTAAAGGGACAATTAAATACAAGCCACCTGAATCTCAGTATTTACAAATCAACACACTACCCTTTGGTCTATTTTTTTAAATTCTCTATAAAATATCAAAATTCATTGTAAAACCTCAATTCAAATTTTTTATTTTTATTAAATTCTTAACAATTTGATTGTGGCACAAAGATATTTCGAGCTCAAGCTCGTTTATATTTCGAGCTCAAAAAGTGTGTTCGTGTTCGACTCGTTTGTTTGGCGAGCCGACGAGCTGAACATCAAAAGAGCCGAACACGAGCCATTCACGAACAAAGAGTCATTTTGACAACCCTAATCACGGAGCCAACAGATGTTAAGGATTGGAGCAAGATTTAAAACATCATTTGAATCTAATTTAATAATTTTTATTCTATTTTTTTTATTAATACTTTTAATTTATTATAAATCTTTGTAGCCTTGTAGTCAATTAAATTTTTTAAACATACTACTCATCATATATATATATATATAATTGATAGTATTTCGAGCTAAAATGAGCCAAACACGAACGAACAAATAGTTGCGTGTGTTCGGCTCGCCTCTTTCACTTGGGGGCGGAGCCGAACACGAGCTTCTCAACGAGCTGAACACGAGTTATTCGCGAACAACAAACTGTTTTGACATAGTTTTTGATTAATTTATAAATATTAATGTTTTGGGTGGTATGTATGTAATTATTATTAATTTTATTTTTTGCTAAAATTAGGTAGACAAAATATTATTTTTGTTTGCCGGGCCGAATTGGAGGGGCGGTTCGTTGTCGTCGTGGAGCGGTTCCCGGCATTTTTGGAAGGGGGGGACTGTTGCCGACAATAATGCGTTTTTTTTTTTATTTTAAATATTTTCTTTAATTATTTATTACAAAAAAATATTAAATTTAATATGGCTAAAGAAGAACTTTTTTTAAAAAAATATTAAAAAAATAAGAAAAAGGAAAATGTGTTCATTTTCGAAAATGACAAATCGAAGGGAACAGATTGAGACTGAAGTTTATATTATAAATGTTATCTTGCTTACTAGATAACATGTTGATAAGTTTATTATATATATATATATATATATCCTC